CAGGATCAGGCCTTACAGTAGTAACTTTAATTCCGTCATGTAAAATTCTGGGCCCATGTGCAAAGCCTAAGGAAAATACTTTATCCAGAGATGCTGTATGTCAGTGGTCACCAACCAGATCACAATCGACTGGTCAATCACGGAGCCTCTGACAGTCGATCGCAGTCTCTGGCTGCTAAAAGTCCAGCAGCACAGCAGGGCTAAGGCAGGCTCTCTGCCAGCCCTGGCCCCGCGCCGCTCTCAGAAGCTGCCGGCACATCCTTGCGTGTGTGGGAGGGCATGGAATCTTCGCGCGCTGCTCCTGCCTGTAGGCACCACCCCCGCAGCTCCCATTGGCCAGGAACCGGAAACTGTGGCCAGTGGGAGAGACAGGGGCAGGGCCTGCAGGGAGGGGCAGCAACGGAGACCCCTTGCCCCTCCTAGAGGCTGCAGGGACGTGCCAGAAGCTTCTGGGAATGGCACGGGGCCAGGGTAGCCACGGAGCCTGCCTTAGCCCTGCTGCACCGCCACCCAAAAGCCACCCGAGTTATGCACCCCTGAGTGGGAGCCCACACACCTCCTGCACTCCAACCCCCTCCCCAGCCCTGAGCCCCCTCCCAGAGCCAGCACCCCATACCCCCTCCTGCACCCCAATCCCCTGCCTTATCCCAGAGCCCCCTTCTGCACCCAAACTCCCTCCCAGAGCTTGCACCCCTCATCCTCACCCCAATCCTCTGCCCCAGCCCAGTGAAAGTGAGGGAGGGTGGGGGAGAGTGAGCAACGGAGGATGGAGTGAGTGGGGCGGGGCCTCAGGGGAAGGGGGGGATAGATCCTGGGTTGCACTTAAATTCAAAAAGTGATCTCGTGCTTAAAAAGGTTGGAGACCGCTGCTGTACGTGGTAGGTGGGAATAAAAGACCTTTCCCCTGGTGGTGCACACAGCACCTGCATAGTCCCTGTGCAGTTGGTTGCTACTACACACTTAGAGGATGTCTACATTGGAACACTCAGGAGAGTTAAGGCAAATCAACTAAAACCATGAAGTCAATGCATGTAATTTAAAGCACATTAAACCCCCATGTGGATGCTCTAATTCAGGGGTAAAGTGGTCGTAGTTCATTGTAACTTAATTCTCACTATGAGCTTTCTACACAAAAGGTTCATCAATTCATCTGTAGGGAACACTGCCTTGAAACTGTAGGTAGTGTGGAAACACACAAGTTTTGCTACGTTTAAGCAGGTTCTCTCATGGAGAATTTGGCCCTGAATAAATATATAAAATATGTGTGGCATTCAGTTGTTCCAGAAGCCATAACTTTAAATTTCCTGACTTCTGTGTGTGTAAGATCTCACACAACATTCATGAGTATATTTTTAGTAAAATAAAGCTATCAGAAGCACAACTCCACACTACCATGAGAACGCACAAAGGCATTATTTCAAACATCAGCAAAACATGTGTGCAACCCCACTAGAAGAGTATGAGTCTTTGTGTCCCACCCACTGGTAAGTCACATAAGCAGCATCAGGTTGATCATAGAATCCTAGAAACGTAGGACTGGAAGGAACCTTGATAGGTCATCTAGTCCAGTACTCTGCACTGAGGCTGGACTAAGTATTATGTAGACCATCCCTGACAAGTGTTTGTCTAACGTGTTTTTAAAAACCTCCAATGACATAGATTCCACAACCTCCCTAGGTAATTTGTTCCAGTGCTTAACTACCCTTACTGTTAGGAATTCTTTCCTAATGTCTAATCTAAATCTCCCTTGCTGCAATTTTAAGACCATTACTTCTTGTTCTGTCCTGGGTGGCTAAGGAGAACAATTTATCACCCTCCTCTTTATAAAACAACATTTTATGTACTTGAAGGCGGTTATGTACCCTTGAGTTTTCTCTACTCCAGACTAAGCAAACCCTTCCCCCCCAATCTTTCCTCACTGGTCACGTTTTCTAGACAATTAATCATTTTTGTTGCTCTCCTCTGGACTTTCTCCAATTTGTCCACATCTTTCCTGAAGTGTGGTGCCCAGAACTGGACTCACTATTACAGTTGAGACCTTGTCAGTGCTGAGTAGAGTGGAAAAAATATTTCTTGTGTCTTGCTTACAATACTCTTGGTAGTACATTCCAGATGTTAGCTCTTTGGGTTTTTTTGTTGCAACAGTATTACACTGTTGACTCATATTTAGTTTGTGATGCACTATAACCCCAGATCCTTTTCTGCAGTAAGCCTTTCTAGGCAATCATTTCCCATTTTGTATTTATTCAATTGATTATTCTTTCGTAAGTAGTACTTTGCATTTGTCCTTATTGAATTTCATCCTATTTAATTGAGACCATTTCTCCACTTTGTCAAGATCATTTTGAATTTTAATTCTTTCTTCAAAGCACATGCAACCCCTCCCAGCTTGGTATCATCTGCAAACTTTATAAGTGTACTCACTATGCCATTATTGGAATCATTTAGCATTATGTGTGCCTTCGTCATTGTTGATTAGCCAGTTCAGATTTCACGTGTATAAACAAAACTATTTAAATAATTTAAGCAGAAAGATATTTGAGCAATCCCTTCAAACAGTCCCTCTGCTTATGTTTAGATCAGGGGTCGGCAACGTTTGGCACCCGGCTCGCCAGGGTAAGCACCCTGGCAGGCCGGGCCAGTTTATTTACCTGCTGACGCGGCAGGTTCGGCCAATCGCGGCCCTCACTGGCCGCAGTTCGCCGTCCCAGGCCAATGGGGGCGGCGGGAAGCCGCGGCCAGCACATCCCTCGCCCGCGCCGCTTCTCGCCGCCCCCATTGGCCCGGGACAGTGAACCGCGGTGCGTGGGGGCCGCAATCGGCCGAACCTGCCACGTCAGCAGGTAAATAAACTGGCCGGCCCGCCAGGGTGCTTACCCTGGCGAGCCGCGTGCCAAACGTTGCCGACCCCTGGTTTAGATATAGAGGTGTGCAAAAGTTTTTCTCTAAAAATGTTTCTCTCTCTCCTAGAAAACAGCTTTGGCAATGAAAAGGAAAATTTTTGAAAGAAAACTCTTTCTTCAAAAATGTCGAGTGCTTTTTGTTCAAAAAAACCCCAAAAAAATCAAATTATATTTTGGTTTTTGACAACTGAAAATTTGAACTTTAAAGCTTTTGGTTGTCAAAACCAAAATTATTTTTGGTTTTGTGACAAACCCGCCCCCCCAAAAAAAAATGTTCAAAGAAAAATGTTGAGGACTATGAAAAAAGATTATCTTCACTGAAATTTTTCACAGGGGGGAAAAAAGATCATTTCCCAGACAACTCTATTTGGAAAACTAAAACAAACAAAAAAACAACCCAGGTGATTAAACTTTCTTCAAACCTTTCATCTGGAAGAAGAATAATACGTTTCAGTTTAAGAGTAATTTTTGGAAGGGCTCAGAATAAAAGCAAAGGGACTCAACTGTTGGAAGATGTTGGGAGACCCTTATTAAAATTCTGCCCCCAAATTAAAGGAAAAGTTGGACTGATTGATTTGCCTTTAATAGTTTTCACCCTCTCTCGGAATACTGCTAAATCATCATACGGGGCTTGATGCAGAAATTATTGGGTTAAACCTCATAGCCTCTGTTATGAAGGACGCCAGACTAGATGATCACAATGGTCCCTCCTAACCTGAATATCTGTGACTTCATAATATGTATATATTTGTAGGAACCGTTTGTTAAAATAGTAGCTACTGCATATGTACAGCTTTTCCTAAGTTTCATCAACAGAGAACAACTTCAGACTCAACAGAAGGACCTTATAACGAGAGGTCGTGGACCTATTTCCTGAAAATTTCTACCAACTTTAAGGCAATACTCTAGCATACTGAGCTACTTATGATAGTAAGAGCCTAGGCAGTCATTGGTAATTCCACGAAGGAAGTCTAAAGTTTAAATGTAAAAGATAGATAACAAGGTTTCTCATGAAGGAGTGGTAAAAAAAAAAAAAAAAAACAAAGCAACTTGCCTACCCAAAACAAAAGGATAGCAACCCACAACCACAATTAAGATTTAGTCTATAAAAACCAGACAATTAGATGCTATTATAATTATTGCATCTTGCCCCACTCTTTGCAAGATCTAACACGATGTCAAGGATGCAAAGCATAAAATATAAATTTTTAATATAACATATAGTGCCAGTCCTTCCTTACAATGTTCTTTCCATGTAACCGCCAGCTGGCTACACTCCCTTCTTTCATTGCCCATTTATAGAATCACACTGCAGACATATGCAATAAGGAATATTTAACAGGGTTGTGTTTGCTAATCGTCAGCATTAGTAGTCATGTGCCCCGTATTCAGTCTTGAATAGACTCAAGCAGGTCTCTCAATATTCACCTCAAATGTTAGCATATAAGACCAAAAGGACCACCGGGAAATACATTTCACCTCCTATTGCATTGCCCCACTGTACCTCTCTGCATGGAAACTATGGGAATTCAAGACTTGTTCCTTTGTGCAGCATAATACGCTGAAACAAACCGTGCAAAGCAGCTGTATTCCATTGCATAGATACATGCCATAAGGTCTTTAAGTTATTTCATGCTGCTTTTTGTTACAGGAAAATTTTCTCAGAAAATTGCTTCCTTAATCCAACCATTTCCATGAGCAGAACTGATCACACAATTGCCAGCTTTATTTTTCTACCACCTATGCAGGAGAAAAGGTTTCAGGGTTTACTACCTTGTGTCTGGAATCAATCCATGTTTCAATACGTTTCACAGTCACTGATCTCTTAATCAGCAGGCAGAGAAACTTCTCAAAGTTACTCCCCGATAGAATATTCAAGATCACACTCTGATAGGTTGGCTGACATCTAGCTCACAATGCTATTGATCATTGGGGTGTGATTACTCCATGGCTTCTGCTTTTAAAACATCTTTCTCTGGACAACACTCAAGCTCAACCGGTGGCACCAACTACACCTCTCTCCCCCACCCACTGCCACTAAAAGACAGGAGAAATGCACTGAAAAGCAGGCGCCTTGGTAAAGAAAGGAGTACTTACATCCCTGAATTTGTTCCAGTATTTATCTTTCTCATATTGCGAAACGGTGCTCAGCCACTTGTCGTTGTCCAAGAAATTGCCATTGTGGTGGTGACTGGGGAGGGTTTCTGGATGCCTGCCTTCCACTTGCAGAAAACACCAAGCAACAATTACCACTATCCTAGTCATCTGCAAAGAGAGGAGCAGCAAAGCGAGCAGAGCTGGGGGGTGCGCGGCAGCCAGGTTTGGGGGGCGAGGGGGGGGGGGAAGTTTGCCTCAGCCACAGCCGCGCTGCCCGGGGAACCGCCTGGATGGGGAGGTGGCTGGGAGAGCCTCCAACCAGCCCCCCAACAGGGCAGCACCCCCGGCCCCGAAACCCAGCTGCAAGCCGCCCAGCCTGGCAGGGGCGGACAGGCGTTGCCCTCGGGGAGGGGGAGAAGTTGCCCTTCCTTGCAGCCCTCCCCCAACTTCGGGGCGCAGGAGCCCCAGAGAACCCCCCAGCCCGGCCGGGGACAGGAGCCCGCCCGCCAGCAGAGGGGGACGGAGCGCGAAGTTGGCAGGCACTTACCTTCGGGCCAGCCGGGGCGCTGGGCTCGGCGCGTGCAGCCGCTGCCGCTGCTCCTTCCCTGCCTGTGGGTCGGAGACGCGGCGAGCCCCGAGACGGCTTCGCCCCGCCGCTTTGTGCGCCTGTCTGGAGGTGCGCGCTGCGCTGCCCGCGGGCGGGCGGGCGGGCGGCCAAGCGGCGAGATCTGGCGCCATCTGCCGGCCGAGCGCGGGCGAGGCCGCCGCCGCTGCTGCAGAGGCAGAGAGAGCAGCGAGGGGGGGGGGCTGCTCCTTTCTGAGCCCCAGCATCACCCTAACTCTGTCGGGCTCCGGGGCGGGTAAGGGGACAAGAGGGGGCCACCACACCCACTTTGCCAGCAGCCAATCCCCTCTGCTCCCAGCCCCACACGTCTGGGGATCCCCTGCCTTAAAAGGGGGGGGGACACAGCCCCACCTGTCATGGTGACCAATATTTTAACAAGGGGCTCCCACAAAGTCCCCCCTCCCGCCCCCCTTGGCTTGCAGCACAGCCAGGGCAGGGGGCGAGCACCCAAGCCCTGGGAAGAGGTGGGTTCCCTTTGTGCACTCAGGCAGGAGGCAGACATTTGGGCAAACAAGATTACAGCCACTTCCCTTCGTGGGCGTTTTCAGACCTTGCTCCTTGGGAAAACCCACAGAGCCTACGGATCGTGTAGGACAGCGCTAGGGCTGCACTGTAAGGTCTGGGGTGGCTGGATGGAGGAAGGGGCCCAGGGCGCCTTTCAGAACTTCTAGGGCCTTTCGGGTATCCTGTGCAGGATTTTTTTTTTTTTTTTGCATGTAACCGGTGACATTTGCTAGGGTCTGGTGCCTCCTAAAGCCATAAAATTGCTCCTCAGAAAAACCTTCATGAGGCCCAAGCAGGATAAAACCCATCTCTGGCAGGCTGGATTGGCAATGTGCAGGGAGAAGGTGACTTCAGCAGAGGCATGGAAATCATCCTGACCTTCCCTTAGTGGCAGAGTTTTGGCAAAGGACTCCCTGGCCACCCCCATGCTCCTTCCTAATAAGAAACTCCTGCCTGGGATCCCAACATCAAAGAGGGGAGAAGAGATCCTTACTGGAAAATGCACACCCTCAAAAAGGGGAAAGAGACACCATCCATATACCCAAGGAGAGCAAAGAGACTGGAGGGGGACTAAGTCCTGGCCAGTGAGTTTAGGTGAGAAGAGACCCCATCACTCACGGGGAAGAAAGTAACTACTGCCCTCATCCTGAAGAGATTCCTCTTGTAGGCTGAGATGGAGGATAAGATTCCCATACCCAGAAGGGGTGAGAGAAGACACTGTTCATCTACATAGTGAAAGAGATCACAGTCTGGAGTCCCTGTGTGAGTAGAGAAGAAACCTTTGCATGGGTCCCCACCCCTGAACAGGGGAGCAGGGATGCTGATCAGAGGCCCTGTTTCCCAACAGGAAAAAAATCACTGCCCACATACCCCAGGAGAAAGGAGATTGGGGGTAATCTGGAGACCCTGTTCTCTTAGTAGTGTCGGGGTGAAAAGGCCCCAAGCCTCCCATCCTTGAATGGTGGTGGAGTGGAGAGAGGAATTAGTCCTAATTGGAGAGTCATTGTGGACTTTCTTGCCCACACCAAAAAAGACAGCCCATCACCCTCATCCCTCAGGCTAGAGGAGAGGAGAAGTCATTCCCCTTTAATTAATATGATGTCCCTGAGCAACAGCCTTTTCTTTCACTGACCATCCATCCTGAATCCAGCTGTGAGCCCCGTTCCTTGTGATTGTTCCAGTGGTTTTGCTTCACACAGTGCATCGTGATTGCCTTCCTCCCTTCCCTGGACTACTGTTGGACTGAGTCATCCATTAGTGGTTTCCTATATAGCTGTGGAGAGGGTCAGGTGTGCAAGCTCTTTAGTGCTGTACATGTGCATTGAAATCAGTACAACGTTTAGTTGTTCCTAACTTTGTTGATTAAAATCCAGCCCCTAAAAGCTGTATAAGCACAATACAAACCTTTGAAAGACATAGGAACAATGAGGGTTAATTTCTAACTGCGGAGAAAAGCGCATGCCAGTATAAGACCAAGGATTGTATTCTCCCCTTGATGGACATACAAGTTAATAGCAGTTACGTCCCTGCCACAGGACAAAATATATTCCAACAAAAGCCAATAAAGAGGGGAGGCCAAACCAAAAACTCTACAGAGTCTGGATCTAAATCCAGATCGAAGCACCACACATCACCCTAACCTCTCTATTGAACGGTACCCCCTTTCCCACCACTGGCCAAGATCAGGGCTCCTCTTTATTTTTACAATGTTCAGACCTGCGTCTCTTCCATCTACAACTGTAAATACCTTCTAATCCCCTTTGTAACCATGACCAGCTGTATCAGAACCAGTTGTCTCAGAGCACCTGGCTAGACCCTTGATGTAGAGTGCCCTCTGAAAAAGTAGAAAACTTTTTCTTCAGCTCTTTCTTGAGGAGGCTAGTGTCAAAAATAAGTCTTGCCCACCTAGTTTCTTGCTGCCATGCCCAGACACAGAGACATCCCTTGGGTATGGTGAATCGGGCGACCGCTCCGGGCCCCGTGCTTTGGGGGACCCCATGCTTCAGTGTGCATGTGTCGTGCGGGGGGTGCTAGGCTGGCCTGGGGGTGGGGTTAGGAGTTCGGGGAGCCAGGCCTGCCCAGGAGGTTAGTGGGGGGCCTGGCGCCAGCACTGGTGTCTCCTCCCCACAACAGATTTCACCTGTATAAAAAATGTTAAGGGGGGCCCATACAGGCTGATTTGTCCCAGGCCCTGCACCCCCCTAGAGACGGCCCTGCCCAGACTCCCTCCAGACAGGTTGTTACTCTCGATGAGAGGTACTGGTTTACGTAACTTTTCCTCTCAGGAGAGTAAACGTAATCCTTCTCCCTTTCTATTTAGATCAACAGAGCACTGTATAGTTTATTCTGCATAGGCCTTTCTCACACTTCCATCTGCTCTGTATGGACATGAAAGATCCTGAACCATTTTTCATAAGATTAAGGGATTCCCCCATTGTCTTTAACCAAATACTAATTTCTTCCAGTGATATGTGGAGTCCTATGTTCCAGCTGGCTGGTGCCTTCAACCCCAGAGATACCCCCGTGCTGTTATACATGTACAACATCATTTGTTAACTATGTGGGGAATTTTCAGATGAAAGCTGCAACTCCAATGTATATTATTTATATATGCTAGTTTTTACTTTCTGGCTCTTTTTTGATATAATTCAGATTTGCATCACGCTTCATTTCAACTGTTTCTTCAGCAGTAGGGTGAGATTTTCAAAAGCACTATCATCACTGGCCTAGCTCTGCACTGGTTCTTCATCCTGTGCTTATTTTGATCATTGACGGTATCATGTAAATTATTTCTTCTATGAGTCTATGCTCTTCATTCCCTGATTTCATTGTTTAAATCATTTGATTTAGAATCGAAGTAATTAGGTCATAGACATCCCATGCTAGTAGCTGTCCTTTCAGCTAGCCTAGAACTCGTTGTTCAAGTACAGTCCTGGAACTGGGATCTTCTGAGCTGAAGGGTGTTTCCAGCTGAAAAACCAAAGGGCCAGATCCTCAAGCCATCCTAAATTCCCTGTATGCACGGGGGAATTAAAGCTGCCCCACTAGGACAACTGGAGATCCCCAGGTCAGAGAGAGCCTTCAGTAGCACAAAGCTAGCGTGCACTCCCAACCTCCAATTATAGAGGTTTTTTCTGAGTGATCGGGGCCATGGCTGGAGCGTGCTGCATTCTTCCTGGGCCAACAGAATGGTGGACTGGTCCAGCCGATGTGAGTCAGAGCCACCTTTGCTTCCCACTCTTCACTTGCAGGGAACATGAGCTCATTACAAGTTAGAGGACTAAGCTCTGAGTTCCCATATAAAAGACACTGTGCCTTCCTATGGGACAGGTGCTCCAGGATTATAGCTGTTGTCCAGGCAAGCCATAGCACACCACCATACGGCTAGCTAGAAAGACAAGATTGCCAGCATGCCCTGTGGAATTGGAACAGGACCAACACATAGGAAGCACTGGCTTAGGAATTCACATCTTGCTTTTTTCCCTGATATATTTGTGATCTCTCCTTCCACATAAGTTGCTGGATCTAGCTGGCACAGTGTATTGGGGGCATTAATTGCCTGTAGCTGGATCAGCCCCTGGTACCCTATATAAATTGCTGCAAAAGACAAACAACTGTGGTCTTTTTTCCAGGCAGAGGGACAGTATTAACCACCTTCCCTGTCAACCTCCGAGTGATCTCTTGCAGTTGTTGAGGTAATAGCTGTAGGATATTTTGGACTTTGACTGATATTTTTCCCTTTCTGCGCTATGAACTTCCTCTTTTTTTAACCTTCCTGCAATACTGAGTATCCCTCAGTAGCTCTGTAATAATTAATGTTCAAAATACAGTGAGCATAAAGTGCATTTCTGCACCAAGCTAATCCCCTCACTGGAGATACGACAGTTCTTATATTTTAATGATTTAAAAAAAAAAATCTAGTAAAAAAAAGGTAAGAGGCTATGCCACTGCATATACAATCCCTTTGTCTCCCACACAGCACATGTGTGTTTAATAGACACGTTGTTTTCTCTATGATTTCCACAACTGCAGGTTCAGCTTTGTTAGTTCTGCTGTACAACAGTGCAGAAGAGCTCATTTAGCCTCTGCTGGAAATGATTATCTGTTTGTGAAAAATCCTTCCACCTTCCAGCAAGCTGCAGTTTATTTCATGTTCTTTCCCCCATTTAAAAATGCAGCAGACATAGACTCACACTTGAACTCTTAATATGCAACTTCCACTGCGTTAGCTAAATCCCCTTTCCACACCATATGGCTAGGCAGGAATATTTCATTGTATCAGGACCTGGATCTTCTCAAGAGTTTGCCATATATATTCACAATTAAAGTTGCAGCAAAGAAACATGTCATCTGGCAGAGAAAGCAATCAGAGCAAAGCTGCAACCCCATTGTGTAGGTTTTGCATATACTCCCGCACTCAGGAGTAAAAGGTTTCTAATTTGCCGAAATTTGGGCAAATATTCATTGAGATGGCAAAAGGCACATCCCTGACACACAGGCT